CTAGACGTAGTGTATTACTTTTCGACAAGGTACATGAAACGGCGTGTTCACTGAGTCAATGCATTAGTTGCGGATGTTCGTTACTGATGCCCTTGGTGAACGATTTAGTAAATTTTGTTGCTTTATACTAATTTTTATGAACTGTCCATACCGAATAAGAAAATTATTCTTGTGTAGTCGTGAAATTTGGTGCCTAACTTTGCTAACTTACATGCGAGAATAGATTTAACACAAAAAGACATTGCACCGATTTAATTCTTGTCGCCAGTTGTTTATTTTCTTTTCAAGCACAGGTTTTTGTCCGGAAACATAACCATACTTCTATAGCACTAGAATTTGCCTGGAGCAAAGTAAAAAAACTAAAGCCGTTTAACACATACGCGGTTTAAGATACTTCTTATTGAAGCGATTATGAAAGCTTATTCGAATGTTTCCATCGGTCACTCTTGCATTTATATGCAATAAGCAAGCACTAGCCAAGATAAAATAATTTTCTTATTCGCCTGTGAAAAGATTTTAAAGGAGCCATGACGGGCCACAAGAAGATCTTCATCGAATGAACCGTTTTTTAACTTGACTAGTAATTGTAGCATACTTCTTGAAATTTAGTACAAATGTGTTTTTGAGTAAAAAATTTTGTACGCTAAAAATTTTCGTTTTATACTGTATGAAAGCCTAAAAGAAATTATTAGAATTGAATTGGAACTCAATGTTGACTACGGACTTATTAATAAACTTAACTTTTACTATATGTTAACACAGACACTGCAAATTAGTTAGCTTCTCTAAGTAAAAACGAAAAGGAACAAAATACTTTCATATAACTACATAAAATGTATTTTTATTGCGTTCGTACCATAAGGGTTAACAAATAATTTCAAACTTTGAAAAGTTTTCTATCGTAAATGCAATTTGAGATATAGAAAGACAAACGATTGACCGTTTTCTAGTCGTTTTAACTTCTTGCTTTATTAGACTAACTTTTTTGACATTATGGGCGGACAACAATTAAGTGCATCTTTAATTTAAGTGATTAGTAGCCAAGCATTTAAAATCGATAGTCAATACTGTTTACGCGTTCTTTAAAAAGAAAATGAAAGTGTTTATGCTATGAATATGCTATAAATTTCATATATACAAAGAATAATACCTATGCGCGTGGGATCTTTTGAAATGTGCGCATACGTATCTATTGTTTATAGAAATTTATTCTATGTGTAATGTTATGTGTAACTTTGTATTGAAGAAACCGCTATCATCTTGTCGATAGTTCTGTCCAGTGCCGTCTTTATTATGATAACTAGCCATCAACACAACTTAATAGCAAACTAAGAAAATATGTTTGTTATTTATATTTACGTGAATAACATCTGCAATTTATTTTGTTTATGTCTCTGGTCCTTCTACAGTATATTAAATTTTTGTAGCAAAAGAACGTTTGATAAAAGCTGAAAAACCTCATCTAAAAACTAAATCCAAATCCAGTTTTTGTCGAAAGTAGATTTCACACGAGAGTTAGTTATTTCCTACGATATCTTACATGAATGCGATTTTTAATTCGCTATTAATATTCGCGTGAAGAATTCAAGCTGCTGATTGTTTTGTTGTAGTAAAAATTTGTGTATTTATATTAACATGAATGAGTGCAGATTACACCAAACTCTTGTTTATCAAGAGAAATCGAATAAATTTGCAATTTTATGTAAAATGATAAATATATTATTCAGACAATTGAAAACAAGCCATGTTTGGGTTAGAATGTAAACGACGTAGCATAGAAGCAGGAAATAGTTAGCAACAAAATGCTTAAAATATATTTCAATTTTGTTTAATTGTTTAATATACCCATTACCGAAGGAAGATAGCATATCAAGTTTAAGACTCGCTTTAGAAAATGTAGAAGCACCTATTAGAGAACAATTCCCAATTAGACTAGAGATCATATGCGTTAACCAGTGGTATGTATCATATTTTTAGGTTATTTTTCTCTAAACCAAACAATTTCCTTATCTATACGTTTTCTGTTTAAATGGAATAAGGTAGTAACTAATATAAGATGGGAATAAAATTTTATAAAATGAAAAAACGGTCAAATCTATTTTATTGGTATAAGTTATTTCAACACTTACAAATTGGACATGTACCATTTAAATATGAGAAATTGCAATTTTCGTTGAAGTCCGCGTATGGACTCTCATTCGAAAATCGAAATTACCTAGGCATTTTCCTAGTTCGAAATTCACTTAGGTTTTTGGTTACAGGGTACGAAGGAGATCAGGTTTTTCAAGTTTTAAATTAATGAATGTACGGCTTCGTATTGGTTTGTGAAATTATGGAAATAATGCATGCACGTAAGTAAATAACAATGTGTAAAATGCGGCATAAAACGTTTACTTCTCCTAAAGCATACTAAGTGGCTTAATTCATCAGAAGCTATTTATTTATACTATATTCTACGATCTATGGTCGAACCATTTTTTTCAAAACGTCTTACGAAGGAACGTTGTATTATTTTTAGCCTTTTCTTTGAGCGAGTAAATCAAGGCTATTATAATAGCGGTTGTGCTTCTTGGGTGTTGATGGTTAAAAAAAAAAAATTGGGTATTGTCCCATTAATCACATTCAATGTTTTACGCAAATAAGTTTCGTATTTGAAAGCTAAAGCTGGTCTGAGTGTGTACATATATGTACGCAGTTTAAAGGATTTTGCAATTTTTCACCAAATCGAATAAGTTAACCGAAAATTGAAATAAATGTATAAAACATTCGCCCAACTTTACGAATTCAGTGCAAATAAAATGCATAGCACTATATATAAATAAAGGAGCGTTAACAAAGATGTAATGGAAAGGGATTTTTTTACTTTTAGTCGCGTGAATAAATAGGAAAATCAGTCGCTTCGTTTACAAAAAAAAGGCCTTGACCTTATATCAGAGAACTAATGCGTTCCCAAGTTGTTTTACAACTCAGACGTGGTTTCACTATAAAGGAAAGATGTTATCATTTTTATATATGTACACAAAGAGTAGAAGGTGTACTTTATATACTATGTATTTCAAGAAAGAAAAAAGTGAAATAAACTGGTAATAACGCATACATATGGCACCATAAGTATTGTTTGCAAATTAAAAAATCTGGGCACTCTTCTTAATAAGGGTGCCCCATGCTGATTGAGTTGGGTGGCAACAAATAAACCTACGCGGCTGACACGGGGATCTATACAAACAGGAAAAACATACGCACATAACAAATCAACATACATACTCTGTTGCGACAATATTACGAACAAAATCTTCGCTTAGTAAGAATCTACACGCAGCAATTTTATAAGCTCATGTTCACTGCAATCGATAAGCAGCCGACCACATAGCTTGTTGTACGTATTTATGTAATGTACGTATTAAACAGATTAAAGCAACATTTATAAGAAAAGATGTGAAAGAGAGTTTTCTTTCTTTGCAAAGTAATAAGAACACCTTTGCAATTTGCAGGTTTTTGCAATTACAGACATTATTATCTTACGCTTTACAAGAAGTTAGGCCTGCAAAGGATTCAATATGTACAAGAAAACGGCAGTAGGTGGAAATGCGGTAATTTTTTACTCCTTTCTTAACACTCGGTAAGATGCCTACAGGTCTATGATTTTAGGATTCAACACAATATTTTCCTGGAATCACTGAAAGCAACTAATACATCCGTGTAGATAAAAAACTATAAGATTTATATATATCTGCATGTAGAGTCAGGCAGAAAAAAACTCGCTACACTACGAATACAGTTTTCATATTTGTAGCACTATTTAAGCAACGGTCAACACCAGATGCCTTGGACAGCAGGGATGGTTTGCCAATCATCTCTACAATATTCTGCATACTTTCTTGCGTTTATTTTTGTATTATTTAATAGCAAT